ACACCTGGCCAGGATGGTGTTATTTATCCTCATATTGTAACTGAAGGTGCTGAGGCTCAGAAAGGCAGGTGATTTTCCCAGTGGTGCTCAGCATGAGCTCGTGAAGTTAGCATTCAGGACTTGCTTCTGTAGCGGCTCTGACTGGGGCTTCCTGGCCTCTCTCTGCATTTATCCACTAATCAGGTGCTCTCACCTCCCAAGGCTCTCATTGCTTGAGCTTTTGGGAAGCTCTCCCTTAGGCTGCTTCCTGGGTGTGACCCCAACCCCACCACGAAGTGACTCCTTGATTGTTGGAGCCAGATTGCTTCTCCCGGGGCAAGAAACACCATAGACACTTAGCCCCTGTGCCCCATGGCCTCCCTGCAGGATAGTGGAAGCCTTGTTATGAGGCTTTAGGAAAGTGCTGGAATCTGTCCCCAGTGAGCGATGTAGGTCCCAGGGAGCTTGTAGGGTCAGCCACAGTGGTTCACCACCCGCTTCTTCCCTGCACATGGCTTCTTGTCTCTTCTTGTTCTCAGTCTACTTAAGACAATCACTGTTCCTTCTATGGGTCAGAGGCCAGTCCTGGTCCATCTGCAGAGAAGGATTTAATAGACTATCACCCACCTGTCTTGGATACCTGCTCCTATGAATGACAGCAGGACCTTCAGCCCCCGGCTTGGCAATGATGAAAACTCCAGACGAGATCTAAGTTCCGGAAGTTGAGTTTTTGAGCCTGAGCACCTTGTGGTTTTAGAGACCAGCTCCAGCTATACCCCCTTTTTCACCCTCTTCCTGTTGAACACAAGGCTGAGTCTGAGCTGTCAAGAAAGGAAAAGAAGAAATCAGAGGCTTTTAGCTAGGCATGCTGGAGGATGCCTGTGGTCCCCGTTACACAGGAGGCTGAGGTGGGAGGATTGCTTGAGCCTGGGAGGTCGAGGCTGCAGTGAGCCATGATTGCACCATTGCACTCCAGCCTGGGCAACACAGTGAGACCTCATATACTTAAAGACAAAGAAGGTGGGGACACAAAACTTCCCTGGGTTTCTCAGTGTGCTGGTGAAGAGCACCAGCTTCCTGAGACTTTTCATATACCATGAGAATTATACCTGCAGTCATTTACACAGGTAATTGCTCTTATCCAAAAGAATAATATAACTTTTCACTGGGCACGGTGGCTCACACCTATAATCCCAGCACTTTGGGAGGCCGAGGTGGGTGGATCACTTGAGGTCGGGAGTTCGAGACCAGCCTGACCAATATGGAGAAACCCTATCTCTACTAAAAATACAAAAATTAGCCAGGCATGGTGGCATGCGCCTGTAATCCCAGCTACTTGGGAGGCTGAGGCAGGAGAATCGCTTGAACCCAGAAGGTGGAGGTTGTGGTGAGCCGAGATCATGCCATTGCACTCCAGCCTGGACAAGAAGAACTTTTCTCCTCGTAAAAGGACCAGATAGTTAGAGACTGCACTAGGGCCTAGGTTAAACAAGGTGTCAGGGGCCGGGCGTGGTGGCTCATGCCTGTAATCCAAGCACTTTGGAGGCCAAGGTGGGCAGATCACCTGAGGTTGGGAGTTCAAGACCAGCCTGACCAACATGGTGAAACCGGTCTTTAAAAAAAAACAAGGCGTTAGGCATCTGGCGTAGCTGCCTTCCTAAGCAGGCCAGTAGAAACTCGTGCTGTAACCACCCAACATACAGGAAGGAATGAGTGACTGGGCATGGTGGCTCACCCCTGGAATCCCAGCATTTTGGGAAGCTGAGGCAGGTGGATCACCTTAGGTCAGGAGTTCAAGACCAGCCTGGGCAACATGGTGAAACCTCTGTCTCTATGAAGAATGCAAAAATTAGCTGGTGTGGTGGCACATGCCTGTAATTCTAGCTACTCAGGAGGCTGAGGCAGGAGAATAGCTTGAACTTGGGAAATGGAGGTTGCAGTGAGCCAAGATTACACCACTGCACTCCAGCCTGGGTGACAGAGTGAGACTCCATCTTGGAAAAAAGAAAAAAAAAAAAAAAAGAAAGACAAAAAAATTAAGAACCTGGCCGGGCGTGGTAGCTCACGTCTGTAATCCCAGCACTTTGGGAGGCCGAGGCGGGTGGATCACGAGGTCAAGAGATCAAGACCATCCTGGTCAACATGGTGCAACCCCGTCTCTACTAAAAATACAAAAAAATTAGCTGGGCATGGTGGTGTGTGCCTGTAATCCCAGCTACTCAGGAGGCTGAGGCAGGAGAATTGCCTGAACCCAGGAGGCGGAGGTTGCGGTGAGCTGAGATCGTGCCATTGCACTCCAGCCTCGGTAACAAGAGCGAAACTCCGTCTCAAAAAGAAAAAAAAAAAAAAAAAAAAAAATTAAGAACCTAAGAGAGAGGCAAAGGGAGAGTCCAAAGGGGAGATTAAGAGACTGAAACAGAAACAGCAATTCAGAAATTCATACTGAGAGAGACAGAGAGCTGTTGAGAGAGGAAAGAGTAAAACCAGGGAAAGGTTTGAGGGAAGCTAAGAGAAAGATGGAGAAGCCAAATGAGAGAGATGGAGTTTGCAAGCTTATTCATTCACCTAGTATCTGTGGAACATGTACTGTGTGTCACATGCTTTATTCTAAGCTGGAGACAAGCAGTAAACACAATTTCTATTCTGTAGGAAGAGATAGACAAGAAACCAGCAAACAAGTGGAATGGTGGCGTGCTAGATGGTGATAAATGCTATGGGGAGAAAGAAGGTCAGAAAGCGAGGTGTTGGGGAGATAGGAGGTTTAAAATCAGGGAGTTGGGAGAGGCTTTGTTGGAAAGGTGACATTGAGCAAAGTCTGAGGGAGGAAAAAAAGGAAGCCACGCAGTATCTGGGTTGGAGAGTGTTCTAGGCAGGGGAGACGGCAAGTGCAAAGTCCCAGATGCCAAGTGATCAATGGGGAAAGGGGTGAAAAACGGGTCAGAGTGATTAATGGGTTGTACCAGATAGAGCATTGTCGGCCACAGTGAGCACTTTGGTTTTTATTCTAGATGAAATTTCTTTCTTTTATTTTTTTATTTTTATTTTAATTGTTTTTGAGACAGAGTCTTGCTCCATCACCCAAGCTGGAGTGCAGTGGCGTGATCTCAGCTCACTACAGCCTCCAGCTCCCGGGTTCAAGCGATTCTCCAGCCTCAGCCTTCCAGGGAGCTGGGATTACAGGCACTTGCCACCACACCTGGCCAATTTTTGTATTTTTTTTCTTTTTTTTTTTTTTAGTAGAGATGGGGCTTCACCATGTTGGCAAAGCTGGTTTCGAACTCCTGACCTCAGGTGATCCTCCTGCTTCCGCCTCCCAAAGTGCTGCGATTACAGGGGTGAGCCACCATGCCTTGCCCTTTAAAAAAAAAAAAACTAAAGGGCCAGGCGCGGTGGCTCAGGCCTGTAATCCCAGCACTTTGGGAGGCCGAGGCGGGTGGATCACGAGGTCAAGAGATCAAGACCATCCTGGTCAACATGGTGAAACCCCGTCTCTACAGAAAATACAAAAAATTAGCTGGATATGGTGGCGCGTGCCTGTAATCCCAGCTACTCAGGAGGCTGAGGCAGGAGAATTGCCTGAATCCAGGAGGCAGAGGTTGCGGTGAGCCGAGATCGCGCCATTGCACTCCAGCCTGGGTAACAAGAGCGAAACTCCGTCTCAAAAAAAAAAAAAACTAAAAGTAAAATTGGGAGACATCACATGAGGTCAGGAGTTCGAGACCAGCCTGGCCAAAATGGTGAACTCCTGTCTCTACTAAAAATACAAAAATTAACCAGGTGTGGTGGTGGGTTCCATAATCCTTCCAGCTACTTAAGAGGCTGAGGCAGGGGAATCGCTTGAACCTGGGAGGCAGAAGCTGCAGTGAGTTGAGATCATATAAGTGCATTCCAGCCTGGGAGTCAGAGTGAGACTCAGTCTCACATACACACAAAAAAAGTGAAGGTAAAATAGTTTTTTTTTTTTAATAATTTCAACTTTTCTTTTTTATCTTTATTTATTTTCTTGAGACAGGGTCTCACTCTGTCACCCAGACTGGAGTGCAGTGTACAGTCTCAGCCCACTTCAGCCTTCGCCTCCCAGGTTGAGGTAATCCTCCCACGTCAGCCTCCTGAATAGCTGAGCTCACAGGCATGCACCACCACACTAGGCTAATTTTTTTAGTATTTTTTGTAGATACTGTGTGTGCAGGCATTGTGAACTTTTATTTATTTATTTATTTTTAGATGGGCCACCACACCTGGCTAATTTTGTATTTTTAGTAGAGATGGGGTTTCACCATCTTGGTCAAGCTGGTCTCAAACTCCTGACTTTGTGATCTGCCTGCCTTGGCCTCCCAAAGTGCTGAGATTGCAGGCGTGAGCCACCTCATCAGGCCAGTTGAGTTAATTTTTGTATGTGGTAAAAGGTAGGGTCCAGTTTCATTCCCTTGCATGTGGCTAGCCAGTTATCCCAGCGCCACTTAAATAAAATTTCAGTTGAGATTTGAAAGGTACACATACAGGAACCAGGGCCGAATTGAGTTCTGGGCTGCAGGCTGGATTCCGTTCATTCACTTATTCAATATCTCTCTATCAGTCATTCTCCAAGCATTTAGAGAGACCTTCTTTGTCCCAGGGCTTGTTCTGGGTGTACTGGAGAGACCAATGTGGAAAAGACCCTCCCCTCAGCTCTGGAGGAGGAAAACATTTCAGGGTGGGGTGAGGTCCTGCCCTCCTGCAAGTGGGGTAATCCTGCCAGAGTGGCCTTGGTCAGCCATAAGCTTGGGGAATGAGTGGACCACACGCTGGAGAGGGGCTGTGGGCAAGAGGAAGGAGCTGGAGAGTGTAAAGGTGGGAGTGGGGAGAGAAAGGGGAGACCCTCCCCTCAATTTTCTGTTTTTTTTCCATGGTGTGAGAGGCCCTGTCTCCCTGCTGGCTCTGAGCTCTAGCTCCAGGCTGGTGCGGAGCAGACAGTGGATGGGCCAAGACAGGTGGACCTGGCATGTGATACGTGCCCGGGGACGACTCAGCCCTTACTTTTAGAACGGTTTCCAGAACTGATGGGAGGGATTGGGCAGGGCAGCTAAATATAGTCCAGGGGCCTGGCTTAGTCTGGGAGGGTCTTCCGCTGAGCACTGTGTGCCCATCACGCCGAGTATCCACTGCCAGCTGCCCCTGTGAGTCCCCGTCCTTGCTTGGAGCCTGCTGCCTGTCTCAGATCCTTGGACACAGCCCTGACCCCGGTCCAGCTAGGCCCGACCCTGACCGGTCCTTCTTCGAGTCTCTTTTGGCCTAAGATCTCCAACCAGACCTGTGAGTCCCGGGGACTGGAGAGACGGGGGCGGGGAGGGCTGGGGATCGTGGTAAAGTGGGAGAGGGGAGTCTCGGAATGGGGGTTCTAGGGAATTTGGGGCAGGGGCTGAGGTCAGAGGGTGGGGCCTGGGGCTAAGGCGAGGGCAAGGACAGTGGGCTAGACCCTGGGGTTGTGTTCAGGAACTGGGGTTGACGGATAGGGTATATTTTTGGGTCTGTACTGAGAATTGCCATGGAGGCTGCTTTTGGGCCTGAGACCGAGTTCGTCTCACCCGGGCCGTCAGAGCCCCATCCAGTGTAGGATGTGCGGTCTTTACAGGCTGGTGCTTCTCCCTGCCGGGCGGCGGGGCCCGGCCTTAGGCTGGGGCTGGGGCTGGGCCGGGAGCGCGGCGCCGCGGGGTCCCCCTAACCGACTTTTCATCCACCCAGGTCCGCCATGTCGGCTGCGCCCGGCCTCCTGCATCAGGAGCTGTCCTGCCCGCTGTGCCTGCAGCTGTTCGACGCTCCCGTGACAGCTGAGTGCGGCCACAGTTTTTGTCGCGCCTGCCTGGGCCGCGTGGCCGGGGAGCCGGCTGCCGATGGCACCGTTCTTTGCCCCTCCTGCCAGGCTCCCACGCGGCCGCAGGCACTCAGCACCAACCTGCAGCTGGCGCGCCTGGTGGAGGGGCTGGGGCAGGTGCCGCAGGGCCACTGCGAGGAGCATCTGGACCCGCTGAGCATCTACTGCGAGCAGGACCGAGCGCTGGTGTGCGGAGTGTGCGCCTCACTCGGCTCGCACCGCGGCCACCGCCTCCTGCCCGCCGCGGAGGCCCACGCGCGCCTCAAGGTGCGGGACCCACGCTCATCGGGGTCGGAGGGGTTGTTCGGTGGCGCCGGGCCTGGTCAACGGGGAGGTCGCTGCACTGACTTGGATTCTGAGCCGCTAGAGAGGCTACCGAGCACCTACAGTTGCGGGAAGCGGGGGCGGGGCGAAGCAGCCTGGAAGGAGGGTCTGAGGAGCCGAATGCGGGGCTGGTAGAGGAAAGCCGCGCGGGGACGAAGCCTGGCCAGAAGGGCGCTGAGCAAACCTAGGTTTCCGGGCCTGAACCCCTCGAGGGACCGGGAGATGGGTGGGCGGATCCCCGGGGCGGGTCTGATGGGCGGGGCGGAGCCGGGCGGAGCGAGGACTGGCCAGCGGCCCAAGTGGTATTCTTGCACCCGGTGGGCGGGTCGGACTGGCTCCCCGCGCGGCGCTGGGGGAGGAGCGGCGTTCGGGAGGGAGCCAGGCGGCCGGGGCGGGGCTGTCCTGATGTCCTCAGCGGAGGCCCACGCGCCCCTGAAGCTGCGGAACTTGGGCAGGCCTGATGGGCTCCAGGCTGGCCTTACCGGAAGGGAGGCAGGATGGCCAGGTACGCCGGCCTTTGCACATGTGGGCGCGGGCCCAGCGGGCACCGAGAGCTCCACCCAGGATGCTTTTCTGGGTGTAGCTGGAAGTCCCGAAAGCCTCGGGAGCCCACGCAGTTGTGTGCGCCAGGACATACCCAGCAGAGACACCGAGACACAGGCAAATAGAGACGCGTGCACACCGGCTAGGGCGTGTAATACGTGTGTCAAAGCACACGCGTGTATCTACTAGCGGACACGTGCGCGCGCAGCCCCAGGAAAGTCTTCCATGAATGTTTATTGGGCAGTGGAAGAATAAACGCCAGGTATAGGGCTGGAGGAGGCGAGATCTGGAGGCACGGAGGCGTCCTCGGTCTCCGAGGTTGAGACTCTGCCATTGTTTTCCGCCACTGGTGCGCGCGCGGGGCTGGCTTTACCAGCGTTGCACTGCTCCTCCCCTTGGCCCGTATCCTAGAGGGGGTAAACCACCATCCTTTCGTTGGTATTCGAGGCCCCCATACTTCCCAGGGGCCCAGCCTCTCAGTCCCGCCAGCTCCTGCCTGGCCTAGTTCTGCTCAGTCCTGGCTGGTGGTCCCCTAGCTCAGGGCAGGAGCCTCCTCCCAGGAGCCTTCCCATCCCAGCTCACCTGTGCTTATGCCCTGGAACTCCCAAACTCGTCCGTCTTTATCTGCGAAGAGAGCACAGAACCCGTGAAACAGAACAGGGCCCAGGCAGCCCAACAGCCTAGAAAGGGGCTGTGGGGCAGGATGCAGCCCCCCTGGGGCTCTCGGCAGGCCGGCCCTTCGCCACCGGGAGGGGCTGGCTGGAGGTCTGAGGGAGGACCCCAGGAGGGAGCCTGAAGGAGGAGGAAGACCGGAAGGCTCTGGGCGGGACCCAATCCCTGGGTCCTTGGTGAGGAAGCAGAGTTGGGTCCCGAGACCACGCACCAGCTCGGAGTGGCCCTCACGCGGCCCGCTGCAGCCGCTCCGCCTCCTCCTGCATGCCCATGTCAAGCAGCACGGTCACGACGAGCTTGGTTGCCTGGTCCTCGCGGTAGAAGGCGACCAGCTTGTCAGTGAGGTCCACGATGTCCAGCTGCCCGAGCACTCCCCTCGGGATGCGCTGAAAGCCCTCGCACAGCGGCACGGTCCCCAGCTTCATCTTGAACTTCTTGAGCTCCTCCGGGGTCAGGTTCTCCAGCACCTCCAGGATGGCGTCGCGCTTCTTTACCATGGCTCAGCCTTGCGCCTCTGAGCGTCTGAGGGCCCGGAGACACTAGGCCCTACCTTTCCCGCAGCAGGAGGAGCCGCCGCCCCTGGGGATGTCCGGGGGAGGAGACTGACCTGGCAGCTCACGTGCAACCCTGTGGCTCCTGCTGGGAGGGGACTCTGCAAACACCGCCTTAGAGGGCCCCCAGTTTCCCCTGGGAAAGTGGGGGGAGCCAAATTGTTGAGGTGGGGATTGCTGTTCCCAACTGCAAAGGAGGAAATAGGTTCAAAGTCTTGGAGGTCGGAATGGAACTGATTCCAGGGCCAAACACCTCCCAGCAAAGAAGTGGCTTTGTAGCCTGGCATGCTTGCCCATCCCTGTGGTGCCAGCTACAGGCTGAGGCAGAAGAACTGCTTGAGCTTGGGAGTTCGAGGATGCAGTGAGCTGTGATTGTGCCACTGCACTCCAGCCTGGGGGGTGGGGGGGGGAAGTAACCTAAAATGCAATTAAAAAAAAAAAAAAAGAAGCAAAGAAGTGGCTTTGGCAGGAGTAGAGGGAGTTCTCCTATATTTGCATATGTGCATTTCAGGTCTTGAGTAAGATCTAGACCACAGAGTGGTTGGTCTATGAGGGAACATTTAAATTAAATTGCCTGCCCCCCCACTCCAAGCCCATATGTGTACAGGCAGGGTGACTTGGGGGGTCAGGCTGACTGAGGCTGGTGTTCTGCTTATTTATTTTTTTTTTTTTGAGGTGGAGTCTTGGTCCCATCGTACAGGCTGGAGTGCAGTGGTGTGATCTCTGCTCGCTGCAAACTCCATCAGCCAGGTTCAAGTGATTCTCCCTTCGCAGCCTCCCTAGTAGCTGGGATTACAGGCGTGCACCACCACACCCAGCTAATTTTTGTATTTTTAGTAGAGACGATGTTTCGCCATGTTGGCCAGGCTGGTCTCGAACTCCTGACCTTGTGATCCACCTGCCTCGGTCTCCCAAAGTGCTAGGATTACCAGCGTGAGCCACCGCACCCAGCTGGTGTTCTGCCTTTAAGTAAGAGAGGAAACCCAGGAGTAGGGGAAGGCTGTCTTTCTTCTTTCACACATCCTTCATGTACTTGCAACAGACCCCCCTGAGGTCTGTTGTGTGCCAAGCTCTGTGCCTGCCTGTCTGGTAGGGGAGATCAAACCTCACTGGTGTTTGACATCCTCACAAAGACCTGTGCTGTGGGGCTGACTGCTGAGCAGAGGGGGTCAGGGAAGGCACAACCAGGAAGAGGTCAACAAAATAGACAAGGGGCTGGGGGTGTGGTGGCTCACGCCTGTAGTCCCAGCACACTGGGAGGCTAAGGTGGGAGGATTGCTTGAGGCCAGGAGTCAGAGACCAGCCGGGGCAACAGAGTGAGACTGTCTCTATAAAAATATTTTAAAAAGCCATGGCCAGGCATGGTGGCTCATGCCTGTAATCCCAGCATTTTGGGAGGCTGAGGTGGGTGGAACACCTGAGGTCAGAAGTTCGAGAACAGCCCAGCCAACATGGTGAAACCCCGTCTCTACTAAAAATACCAAAATTACTCGGGCGTGATGGCGCAGACCTGTAGTCCCAGCTCTTGGGAGGCTGAGGCAGGAGAATTGCTTGAACTTGGGAGGTGAAGGTTGAAACGAGCCGAGTTTGCACCACTGCACTGCAGCCTAGGTGACAGAGTGAGACTCCATCTCAAAAAAAAAAAAAAAAAAAAAAAAAAAGAAATTCGATGGGCATGGTGGTGTATGCCTATAGTGCCAGCTGTTTGGGAGACTGAGAGGTGAGAGGGTCAATTAAGCCTGGGAGGGTGAGGTTGTAGTTAGCTGTGATAATGCCACTGCATTCCAGCCAGGGCAACAGAGTGAGACCCTGTCTCAAAACACCAAAAAAAAAAAAAAAAGACAAGGGCAGGGGAAGCATCTGAACCTTGGGAGTAGTGCCAGCTGAGGCCAGAAGAAATGCAAGTGGGTTTGGGGATGGGAAGATGGCTGGAGGAGGAGCTGGCATTGAGGTTGAGCCACAGAGGGCAGGTTTAGATGGGAGGTGTGGGTTTGGGGTGGGTGGCATCCCCATCACTTCCCCATGCCTCACCCCCAGACGCAGCTGCCACAGCAGAAACTGCAGCTGCAGGAGGCGTGCATGCGCAAGGAGAAGAGCGTGGCTGTGCTGGAGCATCAGCTGGTGGAGGTGGAGGTGAGGGCTTCGCAGGGCCGAGCCTGTGTGTGTGTGTGGTGGGGGGCGCCAGGCTAGGGGTCTCCAGCCAAGAACTTTTATCCTGTGGATCACCGCCCCATCCCTGCAGGAGACGGTGCGTCAGTTCCGGGCAGCCGTGGGGGACCAACTGGGCAAGATGCGATTGTTCCTGGCTGCACTGGAGGGCTCTTTGGACCGAGAGGCAGAGCGTGTGCGGGGCGAGGCAGGGGTTGCCTTGCGGCGGGAGCTGGGGAGCCTGAACTCTTACCTGGAGCAGCTGCGGCAGATGGAGAAGGTGCTGGAGGAGGTGACCGACAAGCCGCAGACTGAGTTCCTCATGGTGAGCACTGGGTGACCTCCCCTCCCCTCCCTGCCCCGGCCCCCTGGGTAGGCCCCAGAGACCTTATCCCATTATCAGATAGGCCCTGAGTGGGGCAGGCATAAGCCAGCATCATGTATCTGGGAGGGGCAGGCCTCAGGACTGCTGCATGGTTGTTTAGGTTGAGCACTGCACAAGGGCATTGTATTAAGTGAACACCATTTAAATCACAGACATTGTAGTTTTATATATTTATTAGGACACTTTATTTATTTATTGCATTTTAGATTTTGGGGTACATGTGCAGAACATGCAAGATAGTTGCATAGGTACACACATGGCAGTGTGTTTTGCAGCCTTCCTCCCCTTCACCCACATTTGGCATTTCTCCCCATGCTATCCCTCCCCAGCTCCCTCCCCCGCTGTCCCTCCCCTATTCCCCCAAATAGATCCCAGTGTGTAGTGCTCCCTTCCCTGTGTCCATGTGTTCTCATTGTTCATCATCCGCCTATGAGTGAGAATATGCGGTATTTCATTTTCTGATCTTGTGTCAGTTTGCTGAGCATGATGTTCTCAAGATTCATCCATGTCCCTACAAAGGACACGAACTCATTATTTTTGATTGCTGCATAATATTCCATGGTGTATATGTGCCACATTTTCCCAGTCCAGTCTATCACCAATGGGCATTTGGGTTGGTTCCAGGTCTTTGCTATTGTAAACAGTGCTGCAATGAACATTCGTGTGCATGTGGACACGTTCTTTTTTTAAGGCAAGGTCTCACTCTGTCACCCAGACTGGAGTGCAGTGGCATGATCATAGCTCACTGCGGCCTTGACTTTGTAGGCTCAAGCAATATCCCCATCTCAGCCTCCCATAGCTGGCACTACAGGTGCATACACCATGCCCAGCTAATTTTTTTATGTTTAGTAGAGACTGGGTCTCACTACGTTGCCCTGGCTGGCCTCAATCTGCCTGCCTCGTCCTCCCAAAGTGCTGGAATTGCAGATGTGATCCAGTGCACCTAGCCTATTAGGAAATCTTCTAATAGATGGAATCAGAGTTTCTCGGAGGAGAGGATACTTTTTTCTAATACACATAAAAGTGAAGGGGTAGGGTGGCCTTGAGTTCTGGGTTTCTTTTGTTTTTTTGTTGTTTTTTTCTGAGACAGGGTCTCACTTGGTTGCCCAGGCTGGAGTGCAGTGGCATGATCTCAGCTCACTGCAACCTCCACCTCCTGGGTTCAAGTGATTCTCCTGCCTCAGCCTCCTGAGTAGCTAGGAGTACAGGAGCACGTCACCACACCCGGCTGATTTTTTTTGTGATTTTAGTAGAGATGGGGTTTCACTCTGTTGGCCAGGCTGATCTCGAACTCCTGGCCTCAGGTGACCCACCCACCTTGGCCTACCTAAGTGTTGAGGTTACAGGCATGAGCCACCTCGTCCAGCCTCTTTTGGCTTTTCTGATTCTTCCTAACGTCACACTCAGCGTTCCTAGCTGTCTACCCCATCCTCAAAGTCTCCAATGTCCCGACCGTCGGTTTCACCACTATTCTCTTTTCTCTCTCTCCAGAAATACTGCCTGGTGACCAGCAGGTGAGAGCAACGTGGCCCTGCCCCTTTGCCCAACTTGTCCCAGTCTTCTAGGGACACCAGCCGGTTCACTCTCCACTCACCAGTGTGTCTGCACACCCGCAATTCAGTCCGCTGCCCTTCCCTGCCTGAACAGGGTTGTAGACAGAAATGATCTAAACTGATGCTTTCCCTCAGGGACCTGCTAGAGACACATGGGTGGGGACACAGGCGTCATTGTGTGCTCAGTGTGTCCGTGGAGGGAAAGGGGTGGCCAGAGAAGGAGTGGATGTTTGAGTTGGGCCCTGGAGGGATGAACAGGAGTTGGCTAGGCAAAGCGGTGGGAGAAGAAGGGCATTTCGGGAGAAGGGCACTTTGGGGAGCGGGGAGAAGGGCGTTTCGAGGAGAAGGGAGTTGAGGGGAGAAGGGCACTGCTCGCAGAGGGAACAGCTATTACTGGCGAGTGGGAGGAAGAGGAAGCTGGGGTGGCAGATGGATTTGTGCTGACAAAGCTGGGGGCGTTGGACCTTATCTTAACTGAAGGATTAAAAAAAATGTGATTGGGCTGGGTGCGGTGGCTTACACCTGTCATCCAAGCACTTGGGAGGCTGAGGCAGGCGGATCACTTGAGGTCAGGAGATCAACACTTGGCTAATTTTTAACACAAAAATTAGCCTGGTGTGGTGGCGGACTCCTCTATTCCCAGCTATTCAGGTGGCTGAGGCAGGAGAATTGCTTGAACCCGGGAGGTGGAGGCTGCAGTGAGCCAAGATCGTGCCACTGCACTCCAGCCTGCGTGACAGAGCCAGACTCAATCTCAAAAAAAAAAAAAAAAAAAAAAAAAGGAAACAAACAGTGGTAAAATATATGTAACTTAAAATTGACAATTTTAAGGTTTTTTTTTTTTTTTTTGAGATGGGGTTTCTTGTTGCCTGGGCTGGAGTGTAACGGCACAGTTTTGGCTCACTGCAACCTCCACCTCCTGAGTTCAAGTGATTCTCCCACCTCAGCCTCCTGAGTAGCTGGCATTACAGGTGCCCGCCACCATGCCCATATAATTTTGTATTTTCAGTAGAGATGGGGTTTTGCCATGTTAGCCAGGCTGGTCTCGAACTTTTGACCTCAGATGACCTGCCTACCTTGGCCTCCCAAAGTGCTGGGATTAAAGGCCACTGCGCCCAGCTTTTTTTTTTTTTTTTTTTTTAAGACAGGATTTTGCTGTGTTGCCCAGACTAGACTCAAATTTCTGAGCTCCAGTGAGCCTCCTGAGTCAGCCTCCCTGAGCACCTGGGACTACACTCCACCTAGTTCATTTTAAGCATTTAAAATTCAGTGGTGCTAAGTACATTCACATTGTACAGCCATCACCAGCATCCATCTTCAGAACCTTCTCATCTTCCCAAACCAAAGCTCCAAAGGAAGAGTTTTGAGCAGGGTTGTGATGTGGGGAGATCCTAGAATCCCCCTGCCCTTGTGCTCCCCCTCACAGATCCCTCCTCTTTACCTCGCCACCCTCAGGCTGCAGAAGATTCTGGCAGAGTCACCCCCACCTGCCCGTCTCGACATCCAGCTGCCAATCATCTCAGATGACTTCAAATTCCAGGTGTGGAGGAAGATGTTCCGGGCTCTGATGCCAGGTACTGGGAGGGACTGGCTCAGGTTTGTGTGTGACCAGGTGGTTGATGGGAGGCCCTAGCCACCCGGAGAGGCCTCCCAGTTGCAACTGGGGAGACCACTGAAGGAGGTGCCCATTGCCCCTTTGCCACTGGGGTTCCCACCCCCGAAGTCCGCTAACCTGCGTTGGGAGGAGGACCTTTGAGGGCATTTGCAGTGGGTTGTTGCTGTCAGTGGTCGGGGACGATGGGGCCTGGGTCTGAGCCACTGACTTGCTGTATGATCCATGGTGAGTCCCTGCCCCTCTCTGGACAGTGGAGATGGTAAATCCTGCCAACTGGGGACTGAGGATCTGCAGAGCTCCTGGAACCCTGGGGGCTGGCCTGGGTCAGAGAGAAACTCTGGTGGCCTGTGGCTGGGAGGCCCAAGGGCTCAGTTCCTCCTCCGAGAGCTTGATGATGCAGGTTACAGAGCTCTGGGACATACACGTTGCTGGGGCAGCCCTTCCTGCTTCAGGGGAGGTGGGAATGGAGACAGCCCCATTTCATTCAGGAGAAAATTAAGGCCCAGAGACTGGGTCGAGGCTGATGTGAAGATTGGACTCCTTGACCATGGGCCTTATTTGGGCCTCAGATGGTGAGTTCCATGCCTTGTATCAATTTAGGCCTGTCCGCCAGGCTTGGTGGCTCATGCCTGTAATCCCGGAACTTTGGGAGGCCGAGATGGGCGGATCACTTGAGCCCAGGAGTTTGAGACCAGCCTGGACAACATAGTGAGACCACCTTCTCTACAAAAACTTAAAAAACTTAGCCAGGTGGGCCGGGCGTGGTGGCTCACACCTGTAATCCAAGCACTTTGGAGGCCAAGGCAGGTGGATCACCTGAGGTCGGGAGTCCAAGACCAGCCTGACCAACATGGTGGTTAAACTCCATCTTAAAAAACAAAACAAAACAAAAAAAACAACTTAGCCAGGTGTGGTGGCAGGTGCCTGTACTCCCAGCTACCTGGGAGATGGGAGATGGGAGGATGGCTTGAGCTTAGGAGTTGGAGGTTGCAGTGAGCCAAGGTTGAGCCACTGCACTCCAGGCTGGGTGACAGAGCGAGATCCTGCCAAAAGAAAAAAAAGAAAGAAAGAAAAGAAAAAATGCAGCTGTGCCTGCAACTCTAGAGGGAAGCAATCATGGCCTCATCTCACAGCTGAGCAAACTGAAGCTGAGCCAGGTGTGGGCCGCTGCCCAAGCCCGTGAACAGAGATGCAGGGCGGATTAGGGAGACAAAGCTGGCCTGTAATTGGTGGGGAGAGGCCCCAGCGAGGCAGAAACCCAGCGTTCTGACTGTGGTCTCTCTGGCAGCGCTGGAGGAGCTGACCTTTGACCCGAGCTCTGCGCACCCCAGCCTGGTGGTGTCTTCTTCCGGCCGCCGCGTGGAGTGCTCGGAGCAGAAAGCGCCGCCGGCCGGGGAGGACCCGCGCCAGTTCGACAAGGCAGTGGCGGTGGTGGCCCACCAGCGGCTCTCAGAGGGTGAACACTACTGGGAGGTGGAGGTGGGCGACAAGCCGCGCTGGGCGCTGGGTGTGATCTCGGCCGAGGCCCCCCGCCGCGGGCGCCTGCACCCAGTGCCCTCGCAGGGCCTGTGGCTGCTGGGGCTGCGCGAGAGCAAGATCCTGGAGGCGCACGTGGAGGCCAAGGAGCCGCGCGCGCTGCGCAGCCCCGAGAGGCGGCCCACGCGCATCGGCCTCTACCTGAGCTTCAGCGACGGTGTCCTCTCTTTCTACGACGCCAGCGACGCGGACGCGCTCGTGCTGCTTTTTGCCTTCCACGAGCGCCTCCCCGGGCCCGTATACCCCTTCTTCGACGTGTGCTGGCATGACAAGGGCAAGAACGCCCAGCCGCTGCTGCTCCTGGGGCCCGAAGGCGCCGAGGCCTGACCCACTGGATGGGTGGGGGAGGGGCGTAGGGGCCTGGGTAGGAGCTTAGGTCTCCTTGATTGGGTCTGAAGGGAAAAGGGTGGCAGGGGGAGGAGGGCAGGTTGCCGGGGCCCAGGGGGGCTGGGAACTTGGGGGGAATCTCCCGGAATTCTGACAATCATGCGGGTTGGCGGGAGCAGTGGCTCACGCCTGTAATCCCAGCACTTTGGGAGGTGAGATGGTCGGATTACCTGAGGTCAGGAGTTCAAGACCAGCCTGGCCTACACGGTGAAACCGTCTCTACAAAAATTAGCTGGGCACAGTGGCGCACGCCTTTAATCCTAGCTACTCAGGAGGCTGAGGCAGGAGAACTACTTGAACCCAGGAGGCGGAGATTGTAGTGATCGGACATTTCGCCACTGCACTGTAGCCTGGATGACAAGAATGAGACTGTCTCAAAAAAAAAGCATGGGTATTGGCATGGCCTGGGACGGCCTGTGAGGGGTTGGGGTGATATTGGGGACAAGACCCAGTGGGGTAGGGAGATCTGGAGTCAGGCCAGTGGGCAAATCAGAATTTAGGAGCCAGAGGCCCTGAGAATTCCAGGAAGAAATTAGGGTTGATTGAGGGAGGGACTGGGCCAGGTGTGGCAATTGACGGGAGGCGCCTTTAGTCTCACACTCCCCTCCTTCTTAGGCCTTGGGGTCTCGGCTCCAGACTCACCTTACCCAAAGGCCTTCCCCTAGTCCTCCACCTTGGGCAGGCATCAGAATCACTTTTTTTTTTTTTCTGAGACAGAGTCTCGCTCTGTCACCAGGCTGAAGTGCAGTGGTATGACCTCGGCCCACTGCAACCTCTACCTCACGGGATCAAGCAATTCTCCTGCCTCAGCCTCCTGAGCAGCTGGGACTACAGGTGTGAGCCACCACACCCAGCTAATTTTTGTATTTTTAGTAGAGATGGGGTTTCACCATGTTGGCCAAGATGGTCTTGATCTCTTGACCTTGAGATCTGCCCTCCTTGGCCTCCCAAAGTGCCGGGATTACAGGTGTGAACCACCACGCCCTGCCAAAAAATGTTCATTTCTAGCATGTTTCCCAGGTGATGCTGCTGGCCACTGGGACTCCTGCTGGGGGAAGCTCTGACCTGGTGCACACCCCATTGTGTCATTCACTCTCCGTGCAGGTTAAAGAGAGGTATAAATCCAAAACATATTCCTCCAGTCAAAGACATGTAAGGTTTGCGCCAGGAGTGGAAGGAAAGAAACATAAACCAAAACAAAGGCACTTACCTGCTGGGCACTCACGCCTATAATCCCAACACTTTGGGAGGTTGAGGCGGGAGGATCATTTGAGACCAGGAGTTTGAGATCAGGCTGGGCAACATAGCGAGACTCTGTTGCAACTAAAACCAGAAAAACAGAAAAGAAGCCCCTGGAAAACTGCTGGAGACGATTCTAGGGGAATCCACAACCTGAGACTTAACTTGCTTTGCCTCTGGGATCTGTTTATCAAGCGTCTGGAGCATTGAGGAGTCCACCAGGTTGCCAACCAAGAGAAAGAGCCTGATGCTAAGCTTACGCTGGGCCCTGCTGCTCGCAGGGAAGAGAAGATGCCCCACTACATCTCCCAGAACCAGCCGCTCCGCACTTACTTGCTGGTTCACCGCTTCTTTGGTTTTAGTGCACAGGGCATTTCTCGGGCTCTGCAGTAACCACTGAGGCCTGAGTGAGAGTCCCTCTTTCCTGCAGGGAGAGGCCTTTGGGGATTCAGGCAGTGGGGCCAGAGGCTCCTCCCTTTGTCTCCTGGGGCCAGTCATTCTCATGGGGAGGGTGTGCTGGTGGGATGGGTGGAAGGGCCTGGGGCTGTGGCAGCTGCTACCATGGTGGTGGTTTTCTCGGTAGATGGTGGGTATGGGACTAAGGGTGAAAGGGAGGTGTGATTTGAATAAGAAAGGCCTAAGAATCTGGCAAGGGAAGGCGGCACACCTGGGTGTGTGTCCCAGAAGGAGGCCTGTGGAGTCCTGGCTTCTGGAGGTAGAAGAGAGGAAATAAAACAATATAGTAAATGGATTATTTGGATGTAAAATCCAACACCATAATAAAACCATTATATTCTGACCCCTTCCTCATTAAATCTTCCTGAAAGACAAATGATCTGTTGCAAGGCCTCCTAATTGCCCTCTAGCCTTTAATCTTGACTCGGGTAATGTTTCAAAAAACGCAAATGTGGTTACGGGACTCAGTTGCTCAAAACTTTCAACTCCCTTTTGCCAGCAGGATAAAGCCCCCAGTCTTTGGCTCAGCATTTGAGCTGTCCTGCCTTTTTGTTTTTGAGATGGAGTATTGCTCTGTCACTCAGGCTGGAGTGCAGTGGTACGATCACTCCAACCTCCACCTCCTGGGTTCAAGTGATTCTCCTGCCTCAGCCTTCCCGAGTAGCTGAGATTACAGGTGCCTGCCACCATGCCCAGCTAATTTTTGTATTTTTAGTAAAGATGGGGTTCCACCATGTTGGCCAGGCTGGTTTCAAACTCCTGACCTCAAATGATCTGCCCGCCTCAGCCTCTCAAAGCATTGGGATTACAGGTGTGAGCCATGGCGCCCATCCCCTGCACTTCTCTTTTAGGGATTAGGATTTAGCTGGTTCCCTCCCACTCATCCTTCAGGGCTCTCCCGAAACACCACCATTTCCTGTCCTCTCTTGACCTTCTAGACCTCCAGGAAGACTCAGCTACTCTCCTCTCTGGATCTCCCAGCACCTCGTCCACCTCCACCATGTGTGGCCCATGGCATTGAATTGTCTACACACAGGCCATGGGTGTCTAAGGAGGGATGGTGACATCTGAGACCCCAAAGCCTGCTTCTGAGGAAATGGGTACTCTGAGAAGCAGATGCCAGCATAGGATTAAATGGGCAGAGATTTTAGGAGGGAAGATGGGGAAGGTCATCAGACTGTTTCAAGTCTGCCTCTGCATGCAGGAGAGAGGGAGGGAAGGCTCTTGTGGCATCTCCTGCAGCCAAAGCCACGGTTCAAACACTCCTGTGCCTCCTGGGACCTGCGCTGGCTTTATTCTTCCTGCAGAGCTGAGTAATGTATGCGCTCTTCTGTTGGAATTATGTCAGGAAACTTTCTTTTGGAGCAGCCACAGGTTCTTTCTGTGTACAGTTGCAGCTTGAACTGCATGCATTGAGAGAAACGGCCCATGGCTGACTAGGTGAGGTGGGCTTTATGGGAAATGCTGCCTAATCCAGGTGGTGCTTGTCGGGTGGGGCTGCCTGACCAGGTAGGATCTCCCTGGGGATGTAGGAAGGTGAAATATGAAGAGAGAAGAGAGTTCCTCCCGCACTTCTGTCCTGAAGCACCAGCATCCCCTCCATGAGTCCCTCCCCTCTGAGGGAATGCTGGAAACTCCCAGTAACTGGCTGCCAAGACATTTCCTGTGCCTTCTGACATCTTTAGGTAGCACAATAGCAAACTTGACCCTGGCTATGTTCATATAGCAAACTAAACAAAACCATGATAAAACTGCAGGCAAGAACATTTATTGTTGCTGGGAGCGGTGACTCAATGCCTTGAATCCCAGCACTTTGGGAGGCTGAGGTGGGTGGATCACCTGAGGTTAGGAGTTTGAGACCAGTCTGGCCTGAGGGAATCTGTGGGGATTGCTCCAGTGTGAGGCCCCTGGGAAATGGGCCTCGCCATACGGTGAGCTTGAGCCCAGACCCAGATCCCTGGTTGGGGGAGTCGAGCTGAGGGAAAGCACGAACCGAGAGAGGGACTATGTTATTCTAAATAATTAACAGACATTACTTTATGGATATGAGGACTTGGGAGGCAATGTGTCCACTTTCGGCTTTTTATGGTTTATTGCTTGATTGTGTTCATTTTGGACCCTTGTTACCTTCATTGTAAAATATTAACTTAAGTATTTATACTTGGTAACTTACTTACCGTAACTTGCTGGGTGTAACTGTAACTAACTTACTTACCATAGCTTACAGGGCGTAACTGTAACTTACTTCCCATAGCTTACTGGGCTTGACTGTAACTTACATTGATCCATTGTTCGTAACCGTAACCGTAACCTACTTAATGGGATTAACTTACTTAGTGGGTGTAACTTGCTTATTGTAACTTAAGTACGTTGATCTGGTGTAAACAACTTTGACTTCAGAAAAGTATATAAGGAAACATATTACAAAAATAAAATTGCTGCTTGGACATAGTCTAAGCCAGCCCTCCAGGCTCCGCTTTCCTATTTTCTTTCACTTCCGCGCACTCTCTCCCTCAGGTTGAACGAGACATCTACGTTGGTGGTCTCGGGGACTCCTGCAGGTCGGTAGTCCCCCGGCAGACGTGCCGGACCCCGACACTGGCCCACATGGTGAAGTCTGTTCTCTACTAAAAATACACAATTAGCCAGGTGTGGTGGCTTGCTGTAATCCCAGCTACTCTGGAGGCCAAGGTGGGAGAATCTCTTGAACCCGGGAGGGGTAAGTTGAGCTGAGCTGATCGGGCCACAAAGGACCTGGGTCCACAGGCGCATGATGCATCTTGGAGTATTGACTTTATGCTAAGATTACTATTTTTCTTGATATTGGTGGTTGTTGGGGTCCAGCATGTCTGCCCGGGGGGGCTACCGACCTGCGGGAGTCCCCGAGACCACCAACGTAGATGTCTCGTTCAACCTGAGGGAGAGAGTGTGTGGAAGTGAAAGAAAAAAGAACAGTGGAGTCTGGAGGGCTGGCTTAGGCTATGTCCAAGCAGCAATTTTATTTTTGCAATATGTTCCATTATATACTTTTCTGAAGTTAATGTTGTTTACGCCAGATCAACATACTTAAGTTACAGTAAGCAAGTTACGCCCACTAAGTTACACCCAGTAAGTAAGTTAAGCCCAGTAAGTCAGTTACCCCCAGTAAGTAAGTTAAGCCCAGTAAGTCAGTTACCCCCAGTAAGTTATGGTAAGTAAGTTACAGTTACGCCCAGTAAGTTATGGTAATTAAGTTACAGTTACACCCAGTAAGTTACGGTAAGTTACCAAGTATAAATACTTAAGTTAATATTTTATGTTAATATTACATAGTATTCTTCATAATATTATATTAATGAAGGTAACAAGGGTCCAAAATGAACACAATCAAGCAATAAACCATAAGGAGCTGAAAGTGGACACAATGCCTCCCAAGTCCTCATATCCATACAGTAATGTCTATTAATTATTTTGAATAGCATAGTCCCTCTCTTGGTTCCTGCTTTCCCTCAGCTTGACTCCCCCAACCGGGGATCTGTGTCCGGGCTCAAGCTCACCGTATGGCAAGGCCCATTTCCTAGGGGCCTCACACGGGAGCGATCCCCACAGATCCCTCAGGTGGTGGTGAGAAAATTGTGTTATTTAACCAAAAGTAAAAATCAAAGATGTCATGTTCCTATTAAACAGAGCGGGGTGTGGTGGCTCACACCTGTAATCCCAGCCTTTTAGGGGGCCAAGGTGAACAGATCACGAGGTCAGGAGATTGAGACCACCCTGACTAACATGGTGAAATCCCATCTCTACTAAAAATACAAAAAAAAAAAAAAAAAAAAATAGCCAGGCATGGTAGCATGTGCCTGTAGTCCTGGCCACTCAAGAGGCGGAGGCAGAAAAATCGCTTGAACCTGGGAGGTGGAGGTGCAGTGAGCCAAGATTCCACCGCTGCACTCCAGCCTGGGCGATAGAGCGAGACTCCGTATCAAAACAAACGAAAACAGAGCACAAAATCTGCATGAATTTTCAAGATAAGCCATGCCCACAAAGTTTTGTACTGGTGCTGGCCATTTGTATAGGCCTTCAGACCCTCAAAAATATGAATTCTTAAAATTGTTATTATTTATTTTTGAGACAGGATGTCACTCCATCACTTAGGCTAGAATAGAATACAATGGTGTGATCTCTGCAGCCTCCACCTCCCAGGCTCAGGTGATCCTCCCACCTCAGCCTTCCAAATAGTTAGGATTACAGGGACACACCACCCTGCCCAGCTAATTTTTTGTATGTTTAGTAGAGACAGGATTTCACCATGTTGCCAAGTCTGATCTCAAATGCCTGGGTGCAAGCGATTCACCTGCCTCAGCCTCCCAAAGTGTTGGGATTACAGGTGTGAGCCACTGTGCCTGGCCTAAAAAATACTTTCTTGCTAAAAATGCTAACCATCATCTGAGTCTTCAGTGAGTCATAGTCTTTCTGGTGGAGGATCTTGCCTCAATGTTGATGGCTGTTGACTGATGAGGAGGGTGGCTGCTGAAGGTGGGGGTGGCTGTGGCAATTTCTTAAAAGAATTTCTTAGGCTAGGCATGGTGGCTCATGCCTGTAATCTCAACACTTTGGGAGGCCGAGGTAGGTGGATCACCTGAAGTCAGGAGTTCAAGACCAGCCTGGCCGACATGGTGAAATCCCATATCTATTAAAAATATAAAAATTAGCTGGGCATGGTGGTGGGCACCTGTAATCCCAGCTACTTGGGAGGCTGAGGCAGAAGAATCACTTGAACCCAGGAAGCAGAGATTGCAGTGAGCTGAGATCTCACCATTGTACTCCAGCCTGGGTGACAGAGTAAGACTCTATCTCAAAAAAAAAAAAAATTATTAAAAGAAGACAACAATGAGGCTAGGTGTGGTGGCTCACACCTGTAATTCCAGCACTTTGGGAGGCCAACGTGGGTGGATCACCTGAGGTCAGGAGTTTGAGACCAACCTGGCCAACATGGTGAAACCCCGTCTCTACTAAAGATACAAAAATTAGCTGGACGTGGTGGCAGGTGCCTCTAATCCCAGCTACTCAGGAGGCTGAGGCAAAATAATTTCTTTTAGAACCAGGAGGTGGTTCAGTGAGCCAAGTTTGCACCGTTGCACGACAGCCTGGGCAACAAGAACAAAAGTTCATCTCAAAAACAAAAAAGATCTAAAAGGCAAAATGACTCCTTGACCCATGGGCTGCAGAATAGATGTTGTGTTAGCAAGTGTATTAGTCCATTCTCACACTGCTGTGAAGATATACCTGAGACTGGGTAATTTATAAATAAAAGAGATTTAATCGGCTCATGGTTCTGTGGGCTGTGCAGGCTTTTGCTTCTGGGAAGGCCTCAGGAAACTTACAGTCATGGTGGAAGGTGAAGGGGAAGCAGGCATGTCTTCACATGGTTGGCAGGAGGTGGCGGAGGTGCTGCACACTTTTAAACAAGCAGCACTAGGGGATGATGCTAAACCATTAGAAACTGCCCCATGGGCCGGGTGTGGTGGCTCATGCCTGTAATCCCAGCACTGTGGGAAGCTGAGAAGAGTGAGTGAGGAGGTCAATAGATTGAGACCATCCTGGCCAACATGGTGAAACCCCGTCTCTACTAAAAATACAAAAATTAGCTGGGTGTGGTGGCCCATGCCTACAGTCCTAGCTGAGGAAGCTGAGGGAGGAGAATCGCTTGAACCCGGGAGGTGGAGGTTGCAGTGAGCAAAGAGATCACGACACTGTACTCCAGCCTGGTGACAGAGTGAGACTCTGTCTCAAAAAACAAACAGAAACTGCCCCCATGATCCAGTCACCTCCCACCAGGCCCCTCCTCCTGAGGATCACAACCTGACATGAGATTTGGGTGGGAACATGAGCCAAACCATATCAGCAGGCATGGAAACAACACCGATCTCTTTGTACATCTCCATCAGAGCTCTCGGATAACCAGGTGCACTGTCAATTAGTAGTAATATTTGAAAGGAATCTTTCAGACCAGATGTGGTGGCTTATGTCTGTAATCTCAGCACTTTAGGAGGCTCACTTGAAAGCCCAGGAGTTTGAGACCAGCCTGGGTAACATAGTAAGACCCTGTCTCTACAAAAAATAAAAAAATTAACCAAGCAATGGTGGCACAAACCTGTAGTCCCAGCTACTTGAGGGGCTGAAGCAAAAGGATTGCTTGAGCCCAGGAGGTGGAGGCTTCAGTGAGCTATGATCACACCACTGCAACCCACCTGCGCAATGGAGAAATCAATCAATCAATCAATCAATCAATCAATCTCTTTCTGAGCAGTAGTTCTCAACAGTGGGTTTAAAATATTCAGTCAACTATGCTGTAAACAGGTGTGTTGTCATCCAGGCTTTGTTGTTCCATAGTACATTTAGCATAATTCTTAAGGGGACTAGGATTTTTGGAATGGTAAATGAACATTAGCAACTTAAAGTCACCAGCAGCATTAGTCCCTAACAAGAGAGTCAGCTTGTCCTTCAAAGCTTTGAAGCCAGGCATTGACTTCTCTCTAGCTATGAAAGTCCTAGATGGCTTCTTCTTGTACTAGAAGGTTGTTATGTCTATATCGGAAATCTGTTGTAAGGTGTAGTCACCTTCATCAATGATCTTAGCTGGATTTTCTGAATAATTTACAAGTTATCCAGAAAAGGTTTTTAATTGATTTTACCTAGATCCATCAGAGGAATCACTATCTATGGCAGCTATAGCCTATGAATTATATTTCTTATTTTTTTTTAGACAGTCTTGCTCTGTTGCCCAGACTGAAATGCAATGGAGCAATCTCAGCTCAGTGCAACCTCGGCCTCCTGGGTTCAAGCAATTCTCCTGCCTCAGCCTCCCATGTAATTGGGATTACAGGTGCCCACCAGCACACTTGGCTAATTTTTTTGTATTTTTAATAGAGATGGAGTTTTGTCCTGTTGGCCAGACTGGTCTGGAATTCCTTACCTCAGGTGATCTACCTGCCTTGGCCTCCCAAAGTGCTGGGATTATGGCGTGAGCCACCATACTGGGCCATGAAATGTATTTCTGAAATAATAACACCTGAAAGTTGAAATTACTGCTTGGTCCAAGGACTGCAGAATGAATGTGTGTTTCAGGCATGGAAACTGCAAAGTTCTTAGAACTGGCTGCACCACAGGCCGTACCCTAAGTCCAGCCATGTAGACCCCTGTGACCCACATGTACACCTCTGGATGTTCTCCCAGAATTAGAAAATCTGAAGTAACTGGAAGACCATGAAAAGGGGAAGAATGATCAACCCCTGTGGCACTTAATTAACTTGAGACATTCTTCTATCATTCCTTATTCCTGCCTCAATTGATAAAGCAACTGGACTTTGTAACTGACCTTGGTCAACCTCTGACTTCAGACCCTACAACCCCCTCCCAGCTTGCAAAAACCACCCTAAACGGTAACTTCTGTAACTTTCCACTACCTATCCCAAACCTATAAACCAACTCCTA